CAATTATCTTCAATATATTATTACTTGGTGCTGAATGGGTTTCACTGATGAAAAATCTGAAAGCTCTAGTACTCTGTAGGCTTTTACGTGCATAGTTGCCTCAAGTAAAATCACAGTATTCAATGCAGAATCTCCTCTGAAAAACTCAGCTGCAGCTCAATTTTAGACCATAAAGTGCATTTTCTTTAAAGTGTACGTTAAACAATGAATAATACTATTGCTTATAGGATACCAACCAGCAAATTAATATTAATGGTAATAACAATAATAGTTTCCTTTAAAGTGATTGATTGAAGTTAAGAAATAGCCAAACCAGTTGACATGCAGTTAGAATTTGGTATTTTTCATCAGAAAAACAATTCACTGCCAATGACAAATAAGAGTAGGGTCACTAAAACTACCTGTCATGCATCTAATGAAGACAGATTCTCTGGCTACCACATATAATATGTAATATCCAAAAGCGCTGCTGTAATTCACAGCTAATTAGTGTCTTGCCGTTATGAGAGGTGTCATGGCCCTAACTCTCTTTTCAGATCTACTCAGACCTCACAAGAGCAGACAGCCATGCAGGGATCACAACAACCCAATTAGCACCCACCCAACCTTGGGCTGCTACTTCTCAGCCCACTCAGCATCAATAAATCATGCACCCTCATGAAGCTCTTCTCTGACAGCTCCAAGCCATTGTTGCTCAAGGAATAAAGACAATACTTCTAAGGAAACCCACGTGGGAAAGAAAGAGATATAAAAGGGATATTATTTGCCTTCCTTTAGCAGCAAAGCAGTCAGCAAAATTGAAGACCATCAATTCAAACTGATTAAGAAGACAACCGCACTAAGAAATAAATCTATGAGTGGTGTATCTGAAGATCCTTACTGATAATCAGCAGTCAGCAATTGGGTTGTTTGTTTGTTTGTTTTAATGTGGATATATTGAAAGCCCTTTTTCTTTCCATTTTTCTCCTGTAAAGACTTCCCTCTGGCTAATAAGAAAAATTTCCTTTCAGTAGATCATAATGGTATGCATTTACTTTGTCCCCCAGTGAATACACAGGAATCAGATAATTTGTTTAAAATACTAAATTGTTTGACTTCATTGAAAAGAAACTTATAATGGTATGCTGGTTTCTAAGCAAGGCCTGCAGAGCTTCCTAAATCCATAAGCAAGCTCTAGAGTATTCACAGCACATAACAGCCAATATCCTTGTAATTTTGTTCTAAGCCTATAAAGCTGTTTTGTTCCATAATATTCTACTTAGAGAGTATTCTGAACAGTCACTGTAGCCTGGGCATCATTCAAAGACATAATTCAGGTAATTCTGCTTTGAGTTTGTTTTCCTCATGAAAGTATCATTCTTTTTTGTTGTTGTTTGTTTGTTTTTTGAGACAGAATCTCACTCTGTCACCCAGGATGGAGTACAGTCGCATGGCCTCTGCTCATTGCCATCTCCACCTCCCAGGTTCAAGCAATTCTTATGCCTCAGCCTCCCTAGCAGCTGGGATTACAGGTGTGCACCACCATTCTCCATTAATTTTTGTATTTTTGGTAGAGACAGGGTTTCGCCATATTGGCCAGGCTAGTCTCGAACTCCTAGCCTGAAGTGATCCACCCATCTCAGCCTCCCAAAGTGCTGGGATTACAGGCATGAGCCACCACACCCAGCCTCATTATTCTGTATTTTTAATGCTAATCTAAAAACATTTGATCTAGCTTTTGACTAAATAACTGCCACCTAATTTGATACGTATTGCCAAAGACAAATAAACAAACAGGGATGTATTTAAACAAGGAATTCTCTTATAAGTCTTCTTATTAAGCATAAAGATTTCAAAAAGATTTTTCCTCCTCTGAATATATTACCATGAAAATATTCAAATATTCAAATATTTATCTGTAAGGATATCCACCGTATCATATTTTATAGCAGCAAAATAATTAAAATGTATGAAATATAAAATAAGTCAAATAAATGATGATATACCCATGCAACTTCTAAAAGTAATAGGGTAGAAGAATATTAAAGGGCATGCAAAAATGTTCACAAGATACTGCAAGACAGAAATAAGAAATATGGAGCTTGGGTCGGGCATGGTGGCTCATGCCTGTAATCCCAGCACTTTGGGAGGCCAGGGAGGGTGGATCATGAGGTCAGAAGATTGAGACCATCCTGGCTAATACGGTGAAACCCCGTCCCTACTAAAAATACAAAAATTAGCCTGATGTGGTGGCATATGTCTGTATTCCCAGCTACTGGGGAGGCTGAGGCAGGAGAACTGCTTGAACCCAGGAGTCGGAGGTTGCAGTGAGCCGACAAGGCGCCACTGCACTCCAGCCTGGGTGACAGAGCGAGACTCTGTCTGAAAAAAAAAGGAAAAGAAAAATGGAGCCTGGATCCATGTTATACACATACATGCATACATGCATGCTCACAAGTATGTATATACATATGTGTGTATACATATGTGTGTATATTTATCTATATATACATAGATTTATAGATATATACACTATTAACAAAAGTTAACCTGAAAGAGTCAGTCCTTCCAGTTGGATCCCAAGTGGCTAACTGGTCCTAAATTTAAAATAGAACCAAGGGTCCATTTGCTGATAGAGGTCACACACATACTCTTGAGTTTCCTGAAAATCCACACGTCTTTAACTTTGGGACTTTCAGAACTTACCTGCCTTGGCCAATCAGGACTCAGCTGTATCAACCAATCAGGACTCAACTTTAACAATCAATCAAGGGTCAGCTGTATTAACCATTCAGAACTAAGCAAGTTTTAATCCCTCATTTGCATAAATGAACCTGACTGGGAACCTGGGTGGTAACTTTTTTATGAAACCATAATCCTCCCTTTGTTATCTGGAATGCACCTTTGTTTTACACAGAAGGCTGCATCTTCTGGGTCTGCAAACTTCACTGGAATAAAGTCTCTTTCTTTCAAATTCCTTTATGCTCAGTTTTGTTTACAAAACACACACATGTATTTCATTATTTACAAGCTAATGTTTGATGCAGAATCTCTCTGAAAATTCATTTTCAGAACACTATTTTTCAAAACAAAAATTTGGTTTTCTGTGTATAGGGGTCTGAGTATGTATGTATAAGTATATGTCCATAAAAATATACTTATAGGTCAAGAATTTTTAAAAATCCTGTCAGGAAAAGCATTTCGATATTTAAAATGCATCTTTAGAAAGTCTTATTCTAGATTCTTCTTCTTTAAGCTGTTTGCTTATAGAAAAGTTTTTTATGTTTCTTTCATAATGAGAAAAAAATGCTATATGAGATATTCACTTACATCACTTGGATATACAGATGTGGACTGGTGTGAAGTCCCAGCCTGGTGGAGCATCTGTTCTGAGTGGCTAATGCCTATCCCATATCAGTCATTAGATATTTTGATTATCATCTTGGGTATAAACAACATTTAAAAGGTAAGTGACAGGCCAGGCATGGTGACTCACACCTGAAATCCCAGCACTTTGGGAGGCCGAGGGGGGTGGATCACGAGGTCAAGAGATCGAGACCATCGTGGCCAACATGGTGAAACCCGCGTCCCAACTAAAAATATAAAAATTAGCTGGGTGTAGTGGCGCGTGCCTGTAGTCTCAGCTATTTGGCAGCCTGATGCAGAAGAATCATTTGAACCCGGGAGGTGGAGGTTGCAGTGAGCCGAGATTGTGCTACTGCACTCCAGCCTGGCAACAGAGTGACACTCCGTCTCAAAAAAAAAAAGGGGGGGTAATTGACACATCACACATAATCATATTTCAAGAATGAGCATAAGAACTAGCATTCTCTAACCTCTTATCCGTGGAATTAGGTAGTAGTGAAGTTGAATCCATGTGGTTCTGGAGTACCACATTGACTCAGTGTCAGCATAGTCAGGACCTGAAGTATGGAAACTCTGCAACACCTGCCTCAAAACCACTGCCCCTGATTCTCTCCAGCTCCAACCCATTTGCCCTGATATTTGGAACTACCAGGTGTGGAGAAGGATAATGTGTACCAAATACACACAGCCTGGCCAGAGTTCAGGTCAAATCAAAGTTCCCAATACACGTGGAATTACAGCCTGCTTTCATGTGGCATCATGACGGCTGCCCTGATTTCTAGCTCAGTGAGTCAGGCAGACGCAATGAGGTAAATGGGCATCATGTTTAATCAGCATTTGTTGCAGGGCAATAGGAACATAGGGAAGCAAAGCCTTTCCCTCCACAAGGTTCACATCTAATTGGAGAAACTGAATAATATGTGTTTAAAGGGGATGATAACACAAATGACAGGTCTAGACAATACAGAGAACAGAACGGGGCAAGAAGAGATAAAGCCTCACATTTAGAGATGACCTAGTGTAGAGTCTTAAGGAAAGATATTCTGCAACCTGGCAATATACCTAAAAATATAGCTATTTCAAAGCAAAGACGTATATTTAGGTACGTGCAACTACTGAGTACATTTTCAGGTCCCCTGTGCTTCTTTTTTCCTAGGGCAGTGTAAACATGTACTTGATCCTTAGGTGAAAAACTACATTTGACCAAATTTTACATAATATGGGGTTAACTACATATATTTGTATTAATCATTTCAATTCATTTTGTGTTTACCAAAGACAATTGAAATGCTAGAAGAAGAAAAAAAAATATTATAGCAAGATTAATTTTGACAACAGTGTAGTTTTTATTTCTTCCTTATCATTTCCTTAAAAGAATCCTAGGGAATGCAAAAGTTAGAAAATGTCACCAGAAATGTTCTCCATTTCATATCTAGAGCATATATATTTGAAACTGTTTATAGAGACTTCTAGCCATAGACAGTATCTTTTGGCTAATTTTTATATTACTCTTCAGTAGTTTAGTATTAATTTTGGTGCTACTGTAAAGATAAGAAATAAGGCAAATTTTAAATTATCATGTCCATGTTCACACAGAAAGCTCATGACTGCAGACCCTCAAGCTCATATTGAATGACACAAAACAATACCCATACCTGAAAGAGAGAATTCTCCTTTTTGGCTTTCACTTTCTCTGATTAGAAAGGCACCCGTCTTATTTTCTGAATATAACAGTTGTTTCTCTGCATCTGATCTTCTGATTGCTCCAAAGAACCACCTAAAAGAGAGATACGTAAATGTTAATTAACCAATTAACATTCATTTTTTAAGGAGGAAAAAGCCTGGCAAGATAGTATTCTAATATCAGAAATGTTTGGCATTCTTTAGTGAAACTATTACAGACATAAATGGTAGCTTCTGACAATTGAGATGATTTTTCAGAATGCCTGTAACCCACACCAACGTTTATTTTTTCTTAACTACAAAGCAGGAATTTGACTATGCCCACTACCACATCCCTTCTCACAGCTATGTTCTGAGAGGTCCTGAGACTTCCCTCTATCAAAGCCAAAGCCCCATTGTCTGCCTGCCATGTATGTGTGCCACGTCCTAGGCTCTAAAATGACTCATCATCTCCATCCAACCGTCCACTGCCTCCCCTAACACCTCCTAGCTGTTAGGAGGCAAATATTCCAATCAAAGGATTCATGTACTTTATGTTAAAGTATGACGAATTAAAAATGTAGTTCTCCGGATATTAGTTCCTTTCTTTTCCCACCTCCGCCACTGTCCAACCCTGCCATAAGATGAGATGATTTTGCATATCTAGAAGGAATTTATTAATATAAAGGAATATTTAAGCAGTGGAGAGATTATTTGAAAAAGATACGTCTGTCCAGGAAATACCCTTTTAGTAACACCTCCACTTCTTATCTTTTCCCCTCTTATCTTTACCATTCCAGAAATATAAAAGTCAGATACTGAACACACAAGTTTGTGAATGCAATCATCATCAACAAGGAATTATGGATCATTAATATCAAAGCCACTGTCACATGTATATCACGTTAATAGAAACCAATTGTTCTAATAAGAGGAAGCTCTGAATTCCTGCTTTATACAAATTACCCCTCACTGTAGGGTCATAAAGATGATCATCATCATTAAAGATTTTAGGTAAAACATTGATCTTTTCAGGTAACTTCTTTAAAAATGTAAACACTCCAAGAGAAGAAATGCAGGCTTGAGGGAAGAAATACAGGCTGGGAGAAAAAAAAAAAAAATGTGTGCCATCAAAATTTAACTTGAATTTGATTGACAGGTCATGGGTATTAGAGAGTATGAGTGCCCTAAGAATGACCCATTGAAAGGCATTTGGGGGAAGGAATTGAAAAGTGAGACATTAACATATAAATATTACCTTCTAACAAATGCAGGGTGTTCGTTTATCATTTCCCCAATTATCAAATTGTATATTACAGACATTAACTGTATCTGTCAGGATATGCCAGATCATCTTGGAGTAATGAACAACTCCAAAAATCCCAGTAGTTTAAGACAACTGGTTTCACTCAGTTCCAGGTCTATTAAGGTATTGAAGGTCATCTGGAGCTCTGCTTGCTGTCAGTCTCACTCAGGGAGTTTCTATCTCCATGCTTCCATGATTGCTGAGCCAGATTGGAAAACATGGGGAATCACAGGCTGGTTCCTAGAGCTTCTATTTAAAGATTCTACTCAGAAATGAACCCACTGGCAATAAGTCTCATAGTCATGCCTAAATATAAAGAGAGTAGAAAGAGCCAATCCCACCATTTCCCAGAAGGTAGAAAATTGGAAACATTTGGTAGACTATACCAGTGACTCTGCATTGAGTCAGTATCAGGAGCAAATCGATGTCCATGGACTATTGTTTATGCAACTGAAACCATGCAAGTCATGGAAACATTCCAAAGTGGACATGTAATGAATTCACAGAAAAACAGAAATGCATGTTTTTGATTATTGCAGAAACAAGTCAATAGAATACTTGAACATAGTAAAAAAACTGAGACCTAAATATACAAATTAGTGATGAAAGGATGGATGATTCAATAAATAACACTGGTACCACTAATAATCCATATGGGAAAAAAACTGATACTACCGACAGCATACACCATAATTTCACATAGATTAAAGGCCTACTGTAAAACGCAAACTTCAAAACTTCCTGAGGACATTGGACTAGGGAAGTTTTCTTAGGCAAGACAAAAACAAAAAGACATTAAAACCTTAGGGAAAAGATTGATAATATTTATTACATCACAGTTAAAATCTTCTACACCAACAAGGTCACCATGAAATAAAATTTGAATATAAGCCAAAAACCTGGAGAAAATATAACCCAAAATAGGATTAGTATTCACGTTATGTTGAGACCAATAATCAATAAGAGAAAGACAACACAGTAGAAAAATTGGCATAGGATATAAAGATGCCTGGATATAATTGGGCAGTTCACATAAAAAGAAACCCCAAATAATTAATAAAAATGACAGGAACGTGGCCTCTACACGTGCTGGTGTTAGGAATATTACATATAAAACCACAATGAAATATTATGTTAGACTTTCACATTACAATTTAAAATGCTCACATTATTAGTTATTAAGGAAAATGTGAAACAAGAGCTTTTATACAGTACTAGTGGTAATACAACTGGCACAAATAATTTAGAAAGCAATTTGGCACTATCTGATAAAGCTGAGTATTTATGTACTACTCAATTTCACTTCTAGACTACATGTTGTATGAGCTCAAGAAGATACACTACAAGAACATCCATTAAAGAATTCTAGGATTGCAAATTTGGAAACAACCTAACTGTCCATCATAGGAGAAAAGATAAACTTAGTTATAGATATAAAATGGAATACTATATAGAAATTAAAACAATAACTGGGCATGGTGGTATGTACCTATAGTCATAGCAACTCAGGAGACTGAGGCAGGAGGATCACCTGAGCCCAGGAGTTCAAGGCTGTAGTGCACTATGATCGCACCTGTGAATAGCCACTGCACTTCAGCCTGGGTGACATAGAGAGATTCCATCTCTCATAAAATAAACTAAATTTTTAAAAATAAATTGTTTAAGGATGAAAGTAAGTTAAAGAATGAAAAGAATGATACATATTATTGTAATAGCATTTGTATACAGCTTAAGAAAACACGTTAGAAAACTGTACATAATTTTTATGACTACATGCATGTTTAGGGAAAGCTAATAAAGTATTCACGCATTCTTTTAACTATTTCCAGAACTGGCAATACTTTTTCACAGAAATATTTCAAGCAAAGAAGCAACATGGATGAAATATCTTGATCAACTCAATGCATTTTCCTGATTCAAAGTGCATTGATTACGCATCAACACTAAAATGTTTACGCAACCTATTCATCTAAGTATCTCTTTCATTAGTTCATTTCCCTCCATCTTTGCTAGCTCACAGAATGAAAGGCATGAACACTCTCCAGTTAGTTACTGGGACAAACCCTTCAATGGACACTACTCACTCATGCTTGCTCTCCAGTCTTTTCAAATAATGTTTTATGAGCACTCTCACATGCTCTCAGTTTAGAGATGAGGAAACTCAGGCCCAGGAAAGTTTATTAACTTGAGACCACATGGAGAAGTGATAGTTGAGTCTGAAATTGAGCCAAACTTCTTTTTCGCACACCATGATACCTCGAAGTGTAAAGTGAAGAGGATGGCTTGGGAACACTCAGATAAAATATGAACCATTATTTTTGCACCAGGCAAAGGGAATTTAGGATAAAGAACACCATGTATTTTGGTCCTCATTTCTTATTTTAAACTAGTAAGATTTGAGCATTTTAACAGTGTCTTAGATAAGAAATAATACATCGAAGCAGTTTTTGTCCCATATAATTGGTTTCTACCTTCAGGTTGTAAAGCTGAATTAGTATATAAAGTATCATATTCCAAAGATCACTCAGAATGGCATTGTCCTATTAATAGACTATAATGTTTCTAATCTTCAATCATCCAGGCAATTTAATGGTTTCAATAACTTTCTAGAGGTGATAGCAATGCATATATGTTCAGAAGCATAACACAGCATTTGAAAGTTGGGGTACATAAATTTTAATGCGTGTATTTAGAAAATATATTTAATTTACTTCTAAGTATGTTTTTATTTGAAAAAATAAAGGGATGATGGTTCAAAAATAAAAATAAAATGTTTAAACAAAATACAAATATGTAAGCCTTTGCAAGAATTACAATGTATCTAGCAGATTAAGTTCCCCAGAATTATTATTATATCTCCTATATATCATTCTCAAAACCAAATACTCCACTACATAAGTTTTATGTATACATGTTACATTTGTATTTTGGCTAATCAAGTCTATAAATGATGTGTTTCCTCTGTCCAGTATATATATACAAACAGGCAGTTTTTATAAATCAAATGGTTAAAGATAAAGCAATTTTACTACATTTGTAGAAAAACCCTATAGCAAAATTTTTTAGTCCTTCTTTGTTTCAACAATTTCGAACTTTTGTATAATAGATTGGTACAATCACTTTACAAGGCAAATCACACTACAGTTGAATCCATAGTAACCATGAAATAAATATAATATTTGACTGAATGCATCAATTCACTTAATTCCTAGAATTTTGCTTAGCTGAGTTCTGATCAGGAGGTGAAGAATATAAATTAAAAAATGTTTTCTGCATGTATTGGCATTTATAACATCATCCTTCATACTCAAAGGTGATGCAATTGCTGCGAACTGCAGTCTCTAGAGCACGTGCTGCTGTAGAGACTGATGGACAAACAATAGCTTGTTCCACCCTTTGCATCTATGAAAACTGTTTCTTAATTTTGAGGTTTGAACCATTGGCAGGACTGTCATTCTGGTCAAGTCTGCCTTTTAGAGCCTCTGATGGCACCATTCTGGAAGGGCAGAAACACCCTAGGCCTGGATGTCCACCACAGCCATTTTCAGCTCTCTCTTTAAGCTACAGTTCTTATGTGCAGTAAACAGAGAGTGCTGAGAAGGGATCAAGATATCCTAGGAGTGTAAAGCATCACAAAAGAGTCATACGGATCAGTCATCCTCCAACTGTGGTCCCCAGATCAGGAGTATCCGTATCACATAGAAACTTGTGTTAAAAGAAAAACCTTAGACAAATTAAAAGTAACAGAATTTAATTGAGCAAAGAATGATTCACGAATCAGGCAGCCTCCCGAGCTAGAGTATGCTCAG